CCGTAGTTTCTACAGAATGCCGCAATCCTTCATTAAAGTTATTCTTCACGTTTCTGATTTTCGTGGTATTCGCACAAAAGTGAGCATCAATTTTGCAGCGCCATAAGTACTACTGTGGAGCAAAGGAGCAAATAGCAGAAAGACGACGGCGAGCACGTGAGGAACTAGATGCCATGTCGTCAGTTACTTCAATGAGCAGTCCGCCTAGATCAGTTATCTCATCTTCCTCCGGTGCTGCAAGTACCTTAAGTATAGGGAGTGCTTCCGGTCGCCCAGTCAAAGGTGAGCTTGAAAACCACGCCTACAAAATCTGTGGCATCTTTGATAACTGCCATACGTATTTTTCTAAAAATGTTTCAGATAAGTCGTGCCCTTTCTGTTTTCTGGTGTGTGCGTCAATGCAGTCGCGAAGGCGTCACATTGAGAGGAAACACCCAGAAAAACTGAGTGATCCTAAAGTCGATGAATATGATTACGTCAAAGTTCTCTCCGTAAGTTCTTTTTCTTACGAATGATGTACGAATCAGATTCTGACATCACGTGCTTTCAGCCTGCTTTGCCTTATGCCTGTAATATCTGCTCAAAAACCTTTGCCTCCCATGCCTCCCTGAATACACACAAGAAAAGGATTCATGAAAACGTGAATGTGCATGAGTGCGCCGTTTGTGGAAAGAGGTGATTTTCTCTTTTCCTATGTGAAGTGCCATAGCCTTGCATTAAAGTGATTTTGCAGTTACCCACTTCCAAGCGAGTTACGTAAGCACATGAGACGAGTGCATGAGAAGAATTTTGAATAACTTCTCCGAGTGTATCACTTTCCCACCATTAGCGACGTTACTTTGTAACTGACTAGTCTATATTGTGATACTTTGCGGGTTTCTGTCTCTGCTCAATAATTTCCTCAGAGTTGTTTCACTTTCTGCTTTCATATTGTGGAATGTTTCCTGGTTGTACATCAGTGGGTTAGTGAAAGTAAGCCGAAGGGCTCCAGTTGATAGTTTGGCTAAATTTTATGAGTGCATTCATTTTCTGTATAGTATTGTACTGTTTTTGGTACGTAATTGATAAATTAAGTTATTTGACGCATTGTGTTCATCTGGCATGGTTTTACTGCTGTGATCAGAAAGAGTTTGTATTTGTGCCACGTCTTTTCGGGGACAATTTCACCTACTATGAAGATTTGACCCTTTTCCCTTCAAAAGCCTCCACTCAACTTTTCCCCCGTCCATGTTTTTGAGGAGGCATAGGGATTTTCGGTCTAGACTCCGCTAAACGAGGTCCCATCTCACCTACCTTTCACAGATGTGTTCTCAGCTTCTGCTGGAGGCTGTTCGCTTTTTACCCAGCTTCAGGGAGGCTTTTGAACAGGAATATAGTGAGACTAATTGCGTGACCCTAGCTACGCCGCCTAGTGCCCGTGCTTAAAGCCTCTTTCCCATGCTCTATGTGACGGTTGAAAATTTGTGCATTTGAAGAAGCCGTGAAAGTGAATATGTTTTCTACAGGAATCGGGGAAGGCTCTCTGGTGATTTCCACTCTGTGCCGTCACTCCGCTGTGGGAAAGACGATGATCGCAATCAACCCGTGCAGAAGAGAATCCGGATTTCTGAGCTAAACGAAGATCAGGAATGTCGTTGGTTACGCCGAATAATCGAGTATGTGCCGGACGCGCTTTACAATGTTGCTGGGACCGTTGGACAGAGGGAGGAGGTTATTGCTGGATCACTCAAACGGACATCAGGATGGCCGCTGGCGTGATCGTCAGAACTCCCCAGAGAAGATATGCATCTTTTCCCTTGAGCAAGGACCCATTGGACTACTGTGGCTTGCAACAGAGAGACGGAGACTATACTGGCGCCCAGTCGAAGAGATTGGTAATCAAATAGAAGAGGGATGATACCGGTGATGATCGATGTATACGAGCAAGCCATTTAATAACTTTTCCTGTTGTGATGGCGTTGCTGACGTCCTTTCAAACTGTGCAAGGTAGCATGGCAAACAAAAAATTTTGATCTCATTTTACCACTAATTTATCAAATTAAATTCACTGGTGTCCGCACTAAAAGAGAGTTATAAGAAGCTTTCCGTACTTAGCCATTCGAAAATTCTAGTAATTCGTACAATTGAATCAAATTGATACAAAATAATTCAGAACTAACTTTATTTGGCGTGTCAACATACATAGTAGCCGAAATGAAGGCTTGTGAAGAGTGGGCAACCGTAATTGTGAGATCGAAGAACAAGACTAGGTAAATAATGACTAGGATGGTGATATGCATAGCGAGATATTGAAGGAATGTATGGGGGGAAAGTGCCTGACAGGGAGGAGAACGAGGTGGGGATAAAGGAAACGTACCTATTTCTAATCATGGACAAAACTGAGCAAGATAACGTTCTCAAAAAAGCTGAAGACCTAACAAAAAGCACTCTTGAAGCTTAGCAATCCGCAACATTGGGAGAGCTCCTAGCGACGCTCGAGAATCGGAATGCTCGCACGACATTACAGAGACGACGGCGAGCAGCTGCAGCTCCAAGACGAGCTGTCACACGAAAGTCGCGCTCTCGGGATGGAGATCGAGCTCTGTCTGAAAGTGCAAACTCGCCACGACTTTTTGAAGTTACTGTCATTCGAGTTCACCTGGAGCTGTTGTAGCGAGATCTTTGCTGATAGGCTCATTACCGTGACTAGTTGTACTAGGAGCCTCCCTGGATTCGTTTTCATCGGAAGGGCATGAGCTCGTAGATGGGCAAGCAGAGTCGGGTGGGAAAAAATGCTGCTGTCGAGAGTCCTTACCCAATGAGAAGGGCCATGATCCGCTTCGCTGAGAACAAACTTTTGCTGAGAGCGAATCTGAACAAACAAAGAGCAGTTATGTGGTCGAAGAGTGCTTGTTTTCTTAAACCAACCTTTCTCATTGGAATGGCCTCCTGGAGATGAACATTCTCGTTGAGCCTCTTCAGCGGTTGCGGGAAATGGTGATGTCGATTGATGGTCGCGACTAAGAAAAAGTCGTGCAATCCAGGAAATTAATCCCCCTTCGCTCTCCCCACAACCACTGCACTCCCCTTCTCTCCCTTTCCTTCCCTAACCACAAACCTTTCAGTTTTGGAAATGTGGTTCAGGAATCGATCCAGACGATCAGGATCCGTGTCACGCAACTTGTTATACATATTACATTGTAGTTCTTTCGGTATCTGAAAGTGAAATATAGGGGATTAAATGAGAGTTGTCGTTGAAAACTGCTCACCCTGAACACTTCTTCGACATGCGCAATCATCGTTTCTACTATGGCAATCTGCTGTTCGTTCTCGGCAAGTGTCGCATGAAGTTTGCCATGATCCGGCCGTAATATGGAGGGAGCGAAAATTGTCGCTAAATTTCGTGCATCCATACGGTTCCCTTGCATCTAAAAGAATCATAAGTAGGTGAGTTTCTGTCCTCTGATTATGATCTTTCTTGACAATGTAGGATGGAACCAAGAGGCAATGTAAAAAGTGGAACCGTTTGGATTTTTAGAAAATATGGATGTGAGCTTCAATACTTTTTCACGGGGCTGTTTCTTGATTGAGCATAGACCCTTCTCCTGTAGGATGGGTACATCGAAAGCTTGAATTCATGGGTGCAAAGGAATACGCGACCGTGTAGTCGAGCTCCAAAGAAGAAGTGAAGTTAGGAGGCGTGAAAGGGGTATTTGGACGAATTGTTCGAATGCACGCGCCACTGCATACAACTGGCTGCAGTAAGCTGCCTACGTGTAAGCTGACAGGTCCCGGTGCGAGAAGCGCAACTTGCACCTGCTCTTACAACGCTTAGGAACTCGTCCGTCCTAAGTGTGTACGTCGGCTGAGCCGATTTTAGTGCCTTATTACGCTCTATCTTGTTTGTTTTCCGACCCGAGAACTTCCCTTAGGCTCTCCTTGAGCGTCACAGGTCTATCCCAGGTGAAACCTAAGAAACAAATTTTAAGAAGAATGTGTCTTTGAGCAATTCATTACCCGAGCATTCACCTTAGTATACTCTTATTCAGCCCGCCTTAGCGCCTGTAGCGCGGCAGTTGAAAGTACGTGTTCCTGGAGAGAAGAGTGAACACATTCATACCTCCACACCCGTATGATGCACTTGATCGTGACAATGCAGCGACACTTCATGCAGAAACTTGAGAAGCACGTAGAGAGTGTCGATGTTAGGAGGTGCTAGCAGTGAGACGAGCAGTCGAAGGACATCAATGCGTTCTTCCAGCGGGATTCCTCAAAAAATGTGTATAGAGGTATAGACAGCTAAGGAGGCTTTAATCTTCAAGCTTACTGGAGGCGGCAATGTAAGCCTGATAGTGCTCCCGAGGCAGAAGAGACTGCGGCAAGTCACGGAAGTACTCCTTCAGTAGGGTGGCTACATCGTGCGCAGTGGTGTTCTCAACGACATCATTGCTGATTGCCATGGAACCACCAGCCTAAACTCGTCTTGTAAAAGATCATTTAGATAAATGTCACGATCATACCAGCAGCGATATTCTTTTTATCCCTATATATAGTCCAACAAATCCCCGAAACCACTCCCAAAGAAGTTTGAGCTCGGTAATTTTTGTAGCGATGGGTGAAAATCAAGAAGAGGTCACCTTCTCAAGAGCCGTCCTGAGAAGACGGCATCGCTTCGCGTTCCCGGCGATCCTGAATAGGCCGACAGCGTTCAGTCCTGAAATGAAAGCATCTAAGTGATGAATAGGTGGCTAGTGAACTTTAGGCATACCATAGGCCATAAGGTACTGAGTGCAATTTTCAACTATACGTGGAACTTGCAGGGAATGTGGTTCGACCTCATCTATTGACGGTGCTTCCATAGAGTATGAGAACGAGGCAGATGATGGACGTTGCTTCTTCACAAATCGGCCCTGCAATGCAAATACATGTTGAGGGTTAGGAACTCAGTCTGAGGAATGAGCTCAGAGAATTGCTACAAATGGACTCTGTGACTAAAGGCACAGTTAATGATAAACGGTTTCTGGGATTACTCTTTGGAATAAACCTGTGACTTCCAACGATTGCACAAGGAACGCTGTTCGGTCAAAACCAAGGAGGACGAGTTTTCACGACACTGTATAGAATACTGTATAGGTTGCAGCATTCGCCAGTTTACTGCAGTCAACTTCGCGCAATGGCACACAAATTTGGACAACTCGTCCAAATACCTCTTCTATGCGATTTTGTCGTCCAATTCTCGTTCAACTCCTAATTTTACTACATTGGAGCCTTATATTTCTCCACATGCGCAGATTTTCGCGTTTTCTTAGCTACTTCTGCACTGTCTGGACTATTATTCGGCCAAAAAAGGATACCCCAGAATTGTCGTGGAATGTTCCTCGAATGTATTTACCCACGCAACTGACTGTCGCGAGAAGGAGAGCTGAAGCGGACATTCAGTTCTCGCGGTGTACGATGTGATAGTTGCCGGTCATTTCAGTGNTGATGTAGCGTTGTCTTTGCTACTTCTGCACTATCTGGACTATTATTCGGCCAAAACAGGATACCCCAGAATTTTCGTGGAATGTTCCTCGAATGTATTCACCCACGCAACTGACTGTCGCGAGAAGGAGAGCTGAAGCGGACATTCAGTTCTCGCGGTGTACGATGTGATAGTTGCCGGTCATTTCAGTGTTATAGTTCAGTGGACCTTTTTACTCCAACTGATAAAAGGTTTCATGTTAAGCTTAAACATAATGATCCATGATACAGAAAAGGGTATGGTCAAGGCAATGGTCAAAGACTATCATCCATGATTATGATGGAATTTGGAGGTGAGTTACCTTTGCAGGTGATCATTCTAGTCAGAAATTGTACGACAAAAATAGTGAAGGAAGACGAAGGAGAGCTTAAACAAGCTTGCTTTTCACAGATTACCCTGATACCCAAGAGGAAAGCTTATTTGGATTTATCACAGGACCCACAGAGTCCTGGGTAAGCAAGCCACATTGATTGCATTGCCAAGGGACATCAGGGAAATTCACCAAATAAATAATAATGAAAGAAGTCTACCGTCACTGGTTCCTTTTCAGCTTCGACGGGAAGCGTCGTTTCAACGGGAAGCGTCGTAGCAGAGGAAAAGTCCTTGACCGGTAGCGAGCATGTCGGTGGAGCTGATCCCGAATGTGAGTATGGTAGAGAATACGTCGAATCCGGATAGAGATTCTAAAAATACAATTATCGTAGTTTGTAGAGATGAGGAGGGTATATTTCCCACCTGTGTTGATGGAAACAGCCATTTTCGATCACTCAGAGTGATTTCAGGTTCAGACCTCACAGTTTTTGCTCTCTGGGGCAGTCGGCAGTGCCTGAAAATGCGATCGAAATAGTAAGTAACAATAGCTATGTCTATAATCCGATAGAAAGATTACAAGGAGCTCAATATTGTAGGATGGTTGCTCCGTTACAATTACTAAGAACATGAACTCCATCGAACCATACCCTTAGATGGTGGTAGAACCTAGTCCCTCTCAGGTTTGTGGAGGCGTTTGCGAGCATGTCTGATGTGAAGTGAAAGTCGTTGCTTTCCACTTTCGGCATGGGATCATTGTAAAACTCGTGGCTAAAACCAGATTGTATGGCTATCCCGGTTCTGGTATTTTCTCCCCGCGCTCGCCGCACACGACCGTGCGCTATGAAGGGGAAGACTTGAATTCCCAGTGGGAGGATACGGCAGTCGCCATGGAGCCAATGCTGCTGGCCGTGGGATATCGGGAAAAAGTTTCGGCTGGATATAGCGACATTATGATGCCAAATGGTTCTGAAGGATTTGCATGGCCTCAAGGGTTCAAAGCACGATCTCGTTGAGCGATTTTAACCAACTTTCATCTCTAGTTCACTTCCCATTTCTACCTCTCCGTTAAGTTCTACCAATTCATTCAAATGATACTCGTAAAGTACGCTTCTCAACTTACTCAGTCGATAAGCGGGGACTGGGGCAGGAGGAATCGTCCAGCGAACGGCATCGGTTCTCCATGTCGAGGCGACGTTCATTCTGCATGCACGCGGACAGAGACACACCAAAAAGCCTCTTTTCACCTTAACGAATCCGCTAGGTCACTTACTAAGGACATTTCGGAACACACACTGCTTACCGGTATCCATGCTGTGTCCGCTAGGGCGACGACTTCCATCAAACGCATTCTGTGACTTATTTGGTTTGAGTAGTTTCTGGCGCTTCTGACGAATAGCAGTTAAGGGATCTGCAAGTAGATGAAGCACGAGTAGACTTTAGACCTTCAGAGCACGGGGTTCAGAGGTAGATTTCAGAAATTCTACAAGACTCTTTGAAGTTTTATGCTGTCTGGCCTCTAGAGCCTTGGAAAGTGTTTAGACCGTTCTGAACCCTTTTCTAGACGCTGAAAACTTACCATTAGTATTAACCGATGCCATCGCATCGGCAGTAAACTGTCGCAAAGTGATAAGAATTCACATAACTACGGGACCCGTCACTCAAATACGAAGGGGGAGAGCTATTCTCCCACCCATGGGGTAATTTGATTTGAGAGAGGGTACTGTTTTTTATTCAAGAATGTAGGTGTAACATTTAACTCAGTCAAATCAAAAATGTAGTAGTCTGATCGCCTCTCGTTTTGGGTTGTTCCCTCGCCCCGCACTAAAGTTGCAAGTGAAGCGGTTTTCGCCATCTAGGTCGGTGGAAAAGAAGATGTGAGCAGAATTGCCATCCCTTCGATGGCCTCGTGACAAATATCATGTAAAGACCGTGAAAAGCTCGTGATTGTGAACTGAAGCTATCCACCATCATTTGTTTTAATGAAAGGAACCTTTCAACGTTCATCACGCTGTGATATTGGGTTCAAGGGGTACACGGGTTAACGACATTGACAGCTCACGAGGCAGGGCACGGTTCACGATAAAAAGATTTCTGAGTTCTTCCCTCAGTAATACTCAGCGCCCACCATGTGTGGTAGAAGGGACCCTCTCACTCCCCCAATCTCGACGTCCAGGGCATAGTGGCAGCCCCGTTGTTGCNGTAGTTCGCGTTCCCGCCCCTCGATCGGTGTCACGTTAGACGAGTGTCGAGGCAATACGGATTGCAACTATTCGTTCTAGGACCCACACACAATCAACTGGTCGCCGAGTGATGAGGCGACATTTTTCTACCGTTCTTTTTTCCTCTGTTATTCTTTTTGCTGCCCTTATTTAATTTTCTACTCCTAGGGGCTGAAAAAGGTGAGCTACTTTTGTTTTACTGGGGTTTTTTTGTTTACTTATGCTTATAAGTGGATGAATTTATGCTTGCCATACTATGTTATTCGCACCAGGACCCATACACACGCAGTGAGACGCATTGTATAGCTCGTCCGAACGCCACATCCTTCTTCATTTTTCTGGTCTCATTCTCGTCCAGCCCCCTTTTTACCGGTTTTCTAGGCCTTTTTCACTTTGGAAACACCTATTCATGCAGTTCCTTCACCTTTATCGCACTACTTTCGATCTTGTCTTCCATTTTTCATCACAATCTGGATTGCCCAAAATCATCGTGAACTGTGCCTTTAAGTTCCTCATGAAACTGTTGTACAGTGATGGTGTATCAGGGCACGGATTGAAGATGGAACAGAGTATAAGATCGGACAAAAACTCTTTCTTCAGTCCATGAAGGTGTGTGCCATCCAGCTTCTTCTACATCGCTCTCAGTGACTTGAAACCTGACCAGGAATACCATCACCAATTTCACTTTCAGTTCAATTACAATTCCCCTCAACAACTCCCGTTTTCGCTTTTCTTGTCAAGTAGAGAAAGTTTTAGCCATTTCCATGAAAATCGCCAATCTATACTGATATGAAGTGAGCTGAATAATGTGTTGTAATGCAAGAAGGTTTCCAAAGAGAAGATAATGGAAGGACTGAACATGAGAGGTAAAACCACCCAGGGTGAGCTCATTGAATGAAGGATTCCCTTCAAAAATAACTCGAAGGGACCATTGAACTCAGCAGCCAAAACAATTTCTGGGAGTCATATCTTCGAGAATGGGTGTCTTATACTGCGTTCACCACCTAATTTTTTCAGACCATGGGATACTGCAGTAAAGTAAAACACCATGGAAACCGTAATTGTTTCGAGGGTATTACAAAGGAAATTCCCCAAGAAAAACAATCTGAGTTCCCCATAGCTGGTTTGATGAGTGTTATAGGAAGTTTACGGAAGTTTACCGCTTTCTGAGGGAAACCTAAACCTAGGCTCTAACAGCTTTTATTGGAAATCATAATACCTCTAATCGGATTAAACCTCTTGTTTTCGTTAGCAATCCCCCAAGGAACCAAGAAACACTCACCTCTCGGTTTCAGAAGATTGACTCCCGGTAAAAGAACTGCAAGTCGTTGTAGAGCGACAAGTCGTAAGGCACCTCGTTCGATCTCACTCAGAGACTCCAGGCGAGCCCCTCTGAGCACTACTTCGACCCCGTCCAATGATCGCCATGTGACGCTATCCTGAAAAAAAAAGTTCTTCGAAGAGTAACATGATCTCTAGAGCATCGCACCAGAAACAGGATTAAAAAGGCTTATTTTTAGTATGCTCAGCCAACAAGGTACAAGGAGCAAAACATGGAAAAAACAGTGGTTATTTTGAGTCGTAGGCTGCGTTGATTGTTCGGTGTACTATCACGCCATTGAAAATCGTGGGGAAGTGGAAGCTGAGCGAAAAATGGCTCAAACTCACCAGCGACCTCCAGGCAGAATCAGTCGATGACGATGTACTGGAGGCATGGCTAAAGTTGATGTACCTAGGCTTTAATTTCCACAACAACTTTTGCGACGAGTACTTCCATCCATCAGAATGACTGCTAAAAAAGGTCGTCAGAATCGAGTCGAACAGCTCAGTTGTACGCTCGTAGGCCACACTTACCTGCTCGCGCTAAGCGGCACTGAAGGGGATACCGGAGCGGTCATCGCCTGCGGAAGGGCCTCATCGAGGAGATCATGGGAATCATCAAAGCCGGATGATTCGCGTGAATCGCGCAGACGTCCCTAAAAATAGCAAAACTTTAGATCATCTTTAGCATGTTTTTTAGTTTTGAAACTGCTTCCAGCAGGAAATGACTTGCGATGGTGCAAATCTTATAGAAAATCATGGAGAATGCAACGAATTAAGATGATTCCCGTTAGACAGATGAGTTTATAAGGAAAAAGACTTTGAAAATCGGGCACAAAATGCCAGTCACTGTGGTTTCAGGAACTAGAAGGCTTCCTTGAAGTGCCTCTCCCATTCTTAAGCTCAACTCACGCCAATAGTGATCCACTCAGGCAAGTCTTTTCGAAAGATCATTAGAGATTTACCCCAACCACAGTCATCTTGCCATCAACGGGTAAGAATAGGTGGCATACTCTCGAAAACTTTTAGCTCTGTGTTTATGACTATTCCACTTCCAATATCCGATTTGAAATTGAATGGTGCTCAGCAGAGCATTTCCTTAGTATGCTATGATTACTGTAGAACAGGGAGACGCTCATTCATCGCAAGACTTCCCTCCCCTCTCCTCCACCATGCCCCCTCGAATGCAGATAACTAGTGAGCACGGGCGGAGGTGGTGCTGTGGCAAGTGGCGCACTATATCACACGCACGGTCAGGGGCTCGAATCCCGGATCGATGCCCGCCCAGGCCAACTAAGCCTTCCATCCCTCCGGGGTCGGTGAATTGGTACCAGACTCGTCTGGGAGGATAAAAGCACTGACTTGTACATCGGCTGGCCACCGCAAGTCATTGTATAGGCCACATACGCACNAGTGCGGGGGCGCATCCCTAAGACGGGATTGATTAACGCCAAAAACTTAATCCTTTATCCTTTAACTAGTAAGCAGAAAAGGTTGGAAATGTCAAGAGGAGTGGGGTAGTGGAGATAACACGAATTGATGCGATGAAGTTCCATAGTAGCAACTTTTCCTGCCTTCCGCTGATCTCCTCAGATTTCCAGAGATATGCTGCTCCAAATGAAGCTTAGATGGGTCTGACGTTTAGAAACGGGTTATTCGATATTAGGCCTCCGTGGCCAACTAAAAAGTCGATCAAAATCTAGGCATTTATCTTGTGCCTCTAGTGGAGGATAAGCAAGCGTCCCGCAAGTAACATGGTGAAGCGATAACTGATCAGCTGCTCAACTATTCGGAAATATCATATTTCGAAAAATCGTTTATGGAGAAAAAGCAGTAGACGATAACTTTGTCAGAAATAGCTCGCACCTACGTGCCTAAATAATATCCTTACTATATACATATAAAGCGCTTTGTCTGTCTGTCTGTTTGTACGGAAATTCGAGATAACCTGAAGTAACACCTGCAGAAGTCGAGTCAAGTTTGGAATAGATTGAGCATAGGGTAAGTGCAACAGAGCACATGTGAGGTTGGCGGAGCTCCGCCCCCAAGGGGCGGGGC